TAATGTTTCAGCTGTGAGGACCGATTTTCGCAATCAAAATATGGCCGAAATTGCGTATGTTTACTTAATCCTGGTATCCAAACCCTAAATACAAATAGCCTTATTATACTTTCTGTAAAAGATACATCACTCCCTCGTTTACTAATAGTGGTTTTATGATAAATAAAACAACTGAACACATTTGTGCACAATAAAGAGCGACGGGTACTGATTTTTAATGTTTGTCATTGCATGTAAAAAGTGACAGATTTCTCCATTTGCCATCCTTTCAAATCTTATGAGATTTTGCACGAGCACTATTGGAAAACTGCTCTTTTCAGAAATGTATTATTTATGTTGGGCAAATATATTCACGCGCTACGAGAAAGAGTTAACTTTGGTTCATTAAATATGCAAAAATCACTGTTTGGCGATTACGTGACTAAAAACCCCTTGAAATAAACATGCTTAAAACGTCATTGTTCTTCGCCTTTAGTTTAGAGAATTTGAAGAAAACATAAATATACATACCTTGAATGCGAAAAGTTCCTTTGAGCTGTTCCACTTTTGGAGTTTATACCAGGAATTTAATATTGTCGACCGTTCGCTTGTTTACATCTCCGCCTTATACATCGACTCAAAGTTCTTGGAATACAATCTATCAGAAATCAACTAACAATTCATACAACTTCCATTCGTGTTCCATTTACAATTATTAATATTCTTAAAAACAAAGAGTCAAAATTAATGTTGCAGAAATTCTATTTTATTTTTATACTGGCATGTCTAAAAAGCTAAATGTTTACATTATAGGTGACGGGCTTCCTGTCGATTTGGCGGAAGTAATGCCACTATGATGTATTACTGTAATGTTGTCATTTCTTTTTTAATATTTAGTGGATTATTGCGAATTGAGATTTTGTTTATTGCTGTAATTTACTTTTATTTACAATTATTAATAATCTTAGAAACAAACAGTCAAAATTAATATTGCAGAAATTCTATTTTATTTTTATACTGACATATTGAAAAAGCTATTTGTCACCAAATGTTTACATTATAGGTGGCGGGCTTCCTGTCGATTTGGTGGAAGTAATGCCACTGCGATGCATTACTTGTATTTTTAATATTGTTTTTTATATTAAGTGGATTATTGTCAAAAAAATGCGATCCGCACGCCGCTATGCTATCGTTATCAGTATTAATTAATATCCATCACGAGCACACCATGACAGTTAAACTTCCATGAAAAGTCAGCATATTAGTATTTGAACTGACGACTGATCAGAGTGGTTTCGAATGAAATGGCACTCTCTAGACGCTGCTATTTTGGTACGGATTGTTCATTTGACCGCAGAGATATCAGTATCTGCAGTAGCATTGCTTCCGCCAAATCGACAGGAAGCCCGCATCACCTAATTATATAAATGTAAATACTTTTTTCGATATCTCAGTACAGTACAGTACAGTACAGTACAGTATATGAATAAAATAGAATGTCTGCAATATTAATCTCGACTCTTTTCTGCATGGCTTATATAACAATTGTAAATGGAATACGAATGGAAGTTGTGTAAATTGTTAGCTGATTTCTGTTAGCTGGACTCCTTGAACATTGAGTTTTATGTAGTTAGGTTAGGGATAACTCCAAAAGTAGAACAGCTCAAAGGAACTTTTCGCATTCAATGTATGTATATTTATGTTTTCTTCAAATTCTCTAAACTAAAGGCGAAGAACAATGATGTTTTAAGCGTTTTTATTTCAAGGGGTTTTTAGTCGCGCAATTGCCAAACAGTGATTATTGCGGCATATTTAATGAACCAAAGTTAACTCTTTCTCGTAGCGCGTGAATTTATTTGCCCAAAATAAATAATACATTTTTGAAAAGAGCAGATTCCCAATAGTGCTTGTGCAAAATCCCATAAGATTTGAAAGGAAGGCAAATGGAGAAATCTGCCACTTTTTACATGCAATGACAAACATTAAAAATCAGTACCTGTCGCTCTTTATTGTGCACAAATGTGTTCAGTTGTTTTAATTATCATAAAACCACTATTAATAAACGAGGGAGTGATGTACCTTTAGCAGAAAGTATAATAAGGCTATTTGGATTTAGGATTTGGATACAAGGATGAAGTAAACATACGCAATTTCGACCATTTTTCGATTGCGAAAATCGGTCCTCACAGCTGAAACATTTTTTGCTGTTTTTTCATAAACAAAAGAGTATTTTAAAAAGCTAACCACATAACGTTTCACACTTCACCATAGTCAACTTAAATTCAAAAGTAGAGCGAATTTAAAATTTTGAGCCTTGCCACATATTTCTCATTTTGTTTGATTTTTGTAGACAGTCGCTCTTAAGAGTTAACTATTATTTAACTACAAAACGGGTAGCAACCCAGTTGTTAGCCCTGGATCAGGAGGCATTATCAGAAATTGCACAGAGAAATAGCTATGTCGTTGAGCACCCATTGCATCGAAAAAATTTTATTTGGCTTAACTTTAATATTTTGCAACAAAATAAGGCTCAAATTGCAAGTTTAAAGTGTTCTTGATTGTTCTTGAATCACCTATGGTTGTTGAGCTTTCAACCTTTTCCTATGACGTTATATTTCCGCCAAAATTCAAGTTTTCTATTTGCGATCCTAGTTTGTGTATTTTGTTCATATTCTAAATACAACATTCATGATCAACTTTTCACAATTGAACATACAACTTTTTACACAATTGAACATTCAACTTTTTACGCAATTCAACATTCAACTTTTTACACAATTCAACATTCAACTTTTTACGCATTTCAACATTCAAATTTTTACAGAACATTCAACTTTTTTTGAACATCCAACCGCAATCCAATTTAAACGACGTAGTGGTAATCACGAGATGTAAAATATGGCAGATTTAACAAGCGAAGTGACATAGACGCTAGTCAAGTTAATAGCCAAATAGAATTTCAGACTTGCAACACTCACTGAACAGTCAAGTGAGTCAACTAACAATTCAGGTAAGTGCAATATTGATTATATATACCTGTCCATGTTATGTGAACCATTATATTAAATCGGTATTTGCAATTTGGTAAACATATTCGAAGTGACTATATGCATATCTGGCAGCCGGACAATTTTTTGAAAAAAACTAAATGTCCGCGGCAGTATAGTAACTTTAGTTAAAGTTGAATTTTTATAAGATAAACCGATCCCAACCCATGCAAACCCTTCTCTGAAGGCTCGTTTACACTTGCAAATTTAAGCTGCGATTTTCGTCTTCTGATGGATGTGAACGAGTGGATTAGTTATGAATGTTCAGATGAGGGCAGTGAACTCTATGTCTTTTATCTGGAATGATAACATGCGGGAGAACCGTGAAGGCAATGCCAACGCCACTTGACGCGCGCTGATTCATGATAGACCGCGCGGTGATGGCGTATAAGGCGACTGAAATTGACGTACTATATGGCGTGGCGATAGACCGCGCGGTGATGGAGTATAAAGGGAGTGAAACTGACGTACTGTATGGCGTGGAAATGGCGTGGAAAGCTGAGGCCACTGCTCACGCGTTGCTCACGCGAGGCTTCACTTTTTAACTGCCAAATGACTGAGTGTTATCGTTCCAGGTAGATAGATTGAGTTTACTGGATGAGGGTACACATACTCCGAACATTACGTAACTCATCTACTCGTTCACATGCATCACAAGGAGAAAATCGCACTAGAAATCGCAGCAAAAATTGCACGTGTAAACGGGCCTTAAACCTAACCCCTAACCCTGTGAGAGTTAGAAAAGCCGAAAAGGAAGAAAAAAACAATGCTAAGTCAGACAAAACGCATCCCGACCCCGACTGCGTTTCACTTTCCGCACGCAGCGCCTTTGCGGCCGACTACGCTAACGGCAAGCTCGATAAAAGCTAGCACAAACAAAAGTTTTTTATATTTACAGTGAAAATACAAGAAGTATCCCACTTCCGCAGTTTGTTGTGATTTACTGTAATTTGTTACTTTTCTGTAGCGATTACAGATTTTTTATCGGCAAATACCGCAATAAAACTTAGTTTTCTCTTTTTTTAAATATGATAATTATTTTGTAGCAAAGGAAAAGAATACATTTTTCGTTAGTTTTATTGCATAAAAGGTACAAAATTTAAGTTTTATCGCGGTATTTGCTGAAAAATCGGTAATCGCTACAGAAAAACAGAAAAAGCTACAGTAAATCACAACCAACTACAGAAGCGGAAGTGGGACACTTTTTGTATTTTCACTGCGGTAACTATAATCAATATACTGTCAGACATTTAGTTTTTTGCCAGACATATAGTCACTTCGAATATATTTACCAAACACCAATTTAATATAATGGTTCACATAATATGGATAGCTATATACAATCAATATTACACTTACCTGAACTGTTAGTTGACTCACTTGACTGTTGCAAGTCGGAAATTCTATTTGCTATTAACTTGACTAGCGTCTCTTTCACTTCGCTTAAATCCGCCATATTTTACATCTCGTGATTACCACTTGTGGACCGGCGTCACGTCGTTTAAATTGGATTGCGGTTGGATGTTCAAAAAAAGTTGAATGTTCTGTAAAAAGTTGAATGTTGAAATGTGTAAAAAGTTGAATGTTGAATTGTGTAAAAAGTTGAATGTTGAATTGCGTTCAAAATTGAATGTTGAATTGTGTAAAAAGTTGAATGTCCAATTGTGTAAAAAGTTGAAAGTTCAATTGTGTAAAAAGTTGAATGTTCACTTGTGAAAAGTTGAATGTTGTGTTGAGAATATGAACAAAATACACAAACTAGGATTGCAAATAGAAAACTTGAATTTTGGCGGAAATATAACGTCAGATTTTCCTAACCTCAAAATTATACCCAATAACGTAACAAGTTTGCCAACTATATCTTGAAATAATAAAGTAGTTCGCCTCATTCATATTCATTACAATCTACGCATGCTCTATTAAGAATGATGAGTTAGTGAGAAAATTTTCGATCGTGAAGCTATCAATCTATCCTTACGTTTGGTGGTCAGAATGCTGTGATAGTTCCATGTCTTCCGGAACTGGAATTCTGGATTCTCCGGTGGTCTCTTCATTAGTTAAAGAAGTAACAACTACACAAGAATGACAAATTTTCAACAGTTGTTAGTTAAAAAACGTATACTGCCGAACCTGCATGTACTAAGGTGGCTCGATAATCATTTTATGTAATTGAAACTTTAAAAGTCACCAATGTCGTTTACGAGTTAAATTACTTTAAAGCGAAAATCCGCCATCTTCAAACCTCACTGTTGTCATAGCAATGGCAGTTGCGTAACCTCTTTAGATGTCGTTTTACATAAGTAAGATGCAATGATAATTCTTGTCCGAAAGTACGGATCTAAATCGTGAATTTTCCTGTATTAAGTATTAATACGAATTATTAAGTCCGATTATTCATCAATTATATTCTGTAAACTACCTATAAGGCCTATTAAATTGAAATGAAACAAAAATACAGTATACAATCTCGCTTGAAATTTTATTTTTGATTGGCAGTTCAAAATTATTTTCGTCTGCATTTTTTCAAATATAGCCTGCTTTTGACCATAGGCAAGCCGCTATTTAGAGCCCAGTCAAATACTTGTTCAATCAATGTAAGTGTCCTTATAGATTGTAGTTTATTAGAAATATGTGTCTAAAAGTGATTGTCCTAGATTTGGACAATAATATAAAGTTTCGTTACCAGATAGGTGCGCTGCATTAATCAATGAAGTAGTAAGTATAAAATCAATTGGTATATAGCTAGGGTGAACACCAAACGTGATTGGCTGAATTTTGGTCACGTGGCTTTAGATAAATGCAAAGTACCCGCCGGGCAACAAGTCCCAACCGGCTAGGAACATAAATAAACAAACTGGCGGCATGCAACTCGCAAGTTTACAAATTAGGATTTTCCGAGTTTGTGTTAAAATAAAGGATATAAAAGAAAAATACACATCAGGTAACAGGATATGCCGCTGAAACCGTTTAAGGAGGCTCCCTGCAGTTTCCAATATATATATATATCAGTGTTTTAAACTAAAAGCTATTTGAATCTAAAAAAACTAATTTTTTGCACAAGCCATTGTCTTCCTTTATATAAAAAAGTAATTTTAATTAACCCACAATCGCTACTCTTCATGTTACAAATGACAACATGACGTCACCATCTATATGGCCTATATCAACCAAAAAAGCCGTCTCAGTCGGCTTTTCAAATAACCACGATGTCCTACCTTTCTTATTGCTTAAAATACATTGTTGTGAAGTTTTGAATCTTCTTTGAAAGTTATTTGAAAATCGCCAGTGTAGTTTTCGAGATACTGAATTTCAGCCTTTCCAAAGGCTACTGAATGCAATTTTAAAGGCTGAAATTCAGTATCTCAAAAACTACACTGGCGATTTTCAAATAACTTTCAAAAAAGATTCAAAACTTCACAACAATGTATTTTCAGCAATAAAAAAGGTAGGTCACCGTAGTTATTTGTCCGCTATGATGGCTTTTTTGGTTGATATAGGCCATATAGATGGTGACGTCATGTTGTCATGGTAACGTGGGGAGTAGAGATTGTGAGTTAAAATGACTCTTTTACATAAGAGGAAACAAAGAGTTGTTTTTTTTAGATTCAAATAGCTTTTAGTTTAAAACACTGACATATATTGGAAACTGTAGGGAGCCTCCTTTAGCAGGTTCTTTTAATGTTAAACTCATTTACACTATAGACTGAGTTTTTGTCATGAAATACGATTGTTGCATGATTGTTGCTGATCTTTCTTTCTTCGCTATATTTATAACAAAGTTTACACTTAATCTCTGTTCTCTCGGGAAATAGTTAGTTTTGTTTCCCCTCAAATCTTAATAATTCCTTCGACTTCGTCCACCCAATACTTGATAAAGTGGGACTGGAATAGCTCCCCCCCCCCAAAAAAAAAAAGAGCCCCCAAAACGAACAACTTGAATTGCGCTGATCGGCCAATTAATAATAATAATCCATCCTAACTCACGGATAACGCAGAATCGCAAACCATAATGAAATAATTAATAAAAATGTCTAACGAAAGATGTAAAAAAGTCTCTTAAAATGCCATTTCCGACGATCTAGGAGGCTACAAATTTTAGAATTTCCCTCTATCTCTTAAGTGTAAGAATTATCCTACGTTCCTCGAAAGGTTTGGTTTGTACTTACATGTGGTATCTGCCATGGGTTTGGTCTTGGTAGGTTGCCCGGCATTGCGAGCTTTCCTTTCTCTGTTGATTTCTTCGTGAATCTATAAAGAAGAGATATAGTGTATGTTACATTCTTAGGAGTATGTCCCACAGCCCCATGTTTGCCCTCCTCCTTCCCCTTAAAATTTAAGAAAACGCAAGGAGATTGCTTTATTATTCCCATGACCAAACGTTTGTCTAGCGGATGAAAAATATAAAAAGTTGTGTCTGCAAATGCAGAAAATGAAGTCCCCACAATTCATAAATACATGTACAATCCCCAGGCCACTGGTAGCGGCTAGTAACGAAGTAATTAAATGCACTTTGTTACTGTACTTGAGTATTATTATTGAGAAATGGGCATGTAAAGAAGCCAATTCTTGTCAGGTTTACTTGGAACGAAGTCATTACATTAAAGTGTTCCAAAAGCATACCTTTCTATTTATAAGCACATGAAAAACAAATATCATTAGTCCTTGTAGAGAGTTAAAGATGGCGAATAGATATTTAAACACAGTTGTATCTCGATTGAAAACCAGTAAACCAAACACCCATGTGAGTCCAAGTATTGGCAGTAGTACAGCTGAACCTTTGAGACCAATTCTTGCTTTTCTCAACTTGGTACAAACCGTTGCCTTGGTAGTTGTTTCGCTGCCTTGTGTACGGGTTGAAGTAACTTCCCAGGTGGATAAAGCATTTCTTAAGGCTAGAATGAAGATTACCAAATTAACCTGAAAAAAATAACTGAAGATAAACATTGCGTACTAGGAAAAGGGACAAGCTAGACAATTGCCTTTCCCAAATATTATTTAGTAATTAACAAGAAAATTGAGCGAAATACTGATAAAAGTCAAGCTAAGTTGGGCAAATTTATCACAAACTATGTTAAATTCAAATTATTGGGCAAACTTTAGAGTGACACACCCAAAAAGAATCGGCCCCGTATGCAAGCAAAGATAAATATACCAAAAATTAGGCTTTATATCGTTTTCCCAGTTCTTTATTGACTCATTTGTGGCTGAACGTTAAACACAAGAACTCCTGGCGCGTTATTCTTTTTAAATTAAGGCATTTTCGAACTCGAATCCCATCAAGGCAAATGTATGTTCCAAAACGACGTGGAATTAAGTGGTCAACACGCAGACACGAAACCCTTTTGTTAGCAAATGCGATCACACCACATGGTTCCAAGGTGTTCGTTACATGGGACCACCGTTTTATCTGAAGAACACAACAAGGGCAGATTTCGTGCTCGACCAATCAGCGCATTTGTTTACATTTTCGCTCTCAGCTAATCATAATGCAGGAAACGAGAAATTTACACCAAGGCGAGCTAGAAAATATTGCCGTCTTCTCGGGCTTCCGTGAGATTCAATTTTAACTTTTTCAATTTAAAACCAAAAGATTATGATGCAGCACATTAAAATCTAAAACTTTGCCGTGGGCATTTTTAAATTTCGACCTAGAACGGAAAATATCCGTGTTTGAAATCTTTCCCTATGGGCTATGTCGCGTATACAAATTTGAGTAATCTAATTTGACTACAATAAAATTAAAAGTTGCTATATTTTTTCTTCTTTACGTTTTTGTTGGAAAACTCTTTTTCGCTCTTGTTGAGAATCATTTTGGGCAATGTATTATTTCATAATCTAGAAGATAACGCGTTTAGAGAGTCTGATTTTCTGCAAAATCGGTCGGACAATATTTTTGTATTGATTCCCGTATGATCGCGAGCGTGCGACTATATTTTTTTAAAATCAAGCGCTATAAATGCGTTATCGTCTAGGTTTTGATATAAAACATTGACCAAAACAATTTGCAACAAGAGCGAAGAGTTTTCCAACAAAAACGTAAAAGCAGAGAAAATATAGCAATTTTTAGTTTTATTGCAGTCAAATTAGATTACTCAAATTTGTATACGCGACATAGGGAAAAATTTCAAACATGGATATTTTCAGTTCTAGGTCGAAATTTAAAAATGCCCACGGCAAAGTTTTAGATTTTAATGTGCTGCATCATAATCTTTCGTTTTAAATTAAAAAAGTTAAAATTGAATTCACGGAAGCCCGAGAAGACGGCAATATTTTCTAACTCGCCTTGGTGTAAATTTCTTGTTTCCCGAATTATGATTAGCTGAGAGCGAAAATGTAAACAAATGCGCTGATTGGGCGAGCACGAAATCTGCCCTTGTTGAAGAACACACTGCATTTGTATACTTGAGTCTGTCGCGCTAAAAATTGTTATGACGTTTGAAAAAAGCTTACCAGTATGATTGGACCTAAGGTACCGACAAAAACCCAGAACAACACACCGTCACCACCGCACCAACATGCACCCTCGGTTATAAAATCCTCTCGATCATTTACTCCAACCAACACCGACACGACAACAACTGGGATACCTAAATAGAAATCGATAGCGACATTTCTTTAAGTAAAGTGGTGAATGCTATAGTCATTCTTATACTTGCAATCTTACAGTACGAATGGAGCTATAATAGTCGTACACACCATATATATCTTATATAGACTAGATAGCGCATCTCTTTTAGTAAAATTGAAGCCAAGAATATTCCAGCGGTTACCCCATTTGAATAGATGGCGGCCATGTTGAAGTTTCCCACTCGCTAATAAACGCTTAAAAAACAACAATAACTTTCATCATTTGAATAATTTAAAAATGTATTTGGAATCGGTTTAACTTAATATCGAAGTTCCATGTTTAAGAAATAGAAAACATACGAATCTTCTCATTTCATGGGAATTTCCTGAGTGTGCAATCACGGCTTCAATTTTTGAATTGTAGAATAATTAGATGCACTATCTAGTGTATATAAGATATCTATGGTACACACGTATAAAAATCTCACAACTCGCCAACAAGATGTGTTCGCAACAGGTTTGTAGCAAGATTGCCAACAATAAGTTGTAATGATGTTGTTATTTCATCAAGTTGCTACAAGGTTGTCACTCACAACATGTTGACAAATTGTTGAATTGTAGAACGATAACAAGTTGTTCGAACAACTTGTAACAAATCTGTTGAGTTCAACAAACTAGTAGAAATTAGTTGCCAATAAACCGTTGACAACTGGTCAACAAGCTAGGAATAAGCAGTGAGAACACATTCTGTCAACAAGTTGTTGCAACAGCATTGCTACAAGTCTGCCGCAGGTTTGTTACAATGTGTGTGCTTTACGTGTTTAGGGGCGGACCATTTGATTTTTGAGGGGGCGTTGGAAGATTTCGAAAAAAAATTTCCTGCAATCCAAGGAGAAAGAAAAAAAAATCACGCAGCATATAATCCAGAAAAAAATATCATGCAAAAGAGAGCGCTCAAAAAAAAATTCCCACATGTAAATCTACTGACGTTCGTCACTTCAGTATTGTGTCCACAGGCTTGCAAAATTTTGCATTTTTGAGCAGGCAAATTTGCTTAAAGAACACGGGGTGAACAGTGGACAACATCACCGGGATTCTACCGCCTTTTGGAGCCTATAACATACGATAGCCAGTGGCGTTCCCTGGCAATATGCATGCATGGTAGAAAACGTATTTTTGGATGCATGGTTGAGTCTGTGTGCGTTTTTTGATAACATAGCTCCAAACTATTAAAGCTTCAAAGGCCCATCTACAGGATGCAAGTTGAACGTACTGTATATACGATGATTTTAATGCGAAAATGCCAGTTTTGAGAGTCTAGATTTTAAAAAAATTCTGAAGAGGATGCAACCCGATCCCCAACAAGCTACCTGTATGAACGATTGAAAAGCTACAGAGCTATATTTGGTGGAGCATTGTTGTTTC